ACAGAGCAGGCAGGTGGGTGCCATATGTGAGATGGCATCAACCTGGCTAACACTGTTTGACCCACCCTGTAGATACCCAGAGACTCCATCCCCACCAACTTACAGGCCCACCCAACCTGCTTTTCCATATGCATGACTGGTCTTGGCTCATGCTTCGCAACTTTCTAAATCCTTTCAAACAAGCAACAGCCAGCCTCAGTGAGCCCTCAGCTCCTGTACCTCTTCCTAAGTGGCTGCAGGCCAGGCACTAGCAGCAACCAGCCTAGATTTACAGTTTGGTTTCACCTGGGCATCTCCAAGCCCTGCACAAGTAGGCAACCATCTCAGATTGCTTTATAGCTCTGGAAGGATGGCTATGGGCAAAACACAGGTTGGGGCTAACCTTGGCCTACACCATCCAGGAAACCCCAGAGCCTAAGCACCCAGTGGACAGCTACAGACCACATTGGAGTACCGCAACCCTGGCCCTACACAGCTGATCTTCCAGGTTGGTGGTCAATGGTCACAGCCAGTCCTTGCAACTGACTGGCTGGGGTAAATACTTCCTTTTGATCTCTGAACAGCAATTAAGGCTCAACTACAGAAGGAAAGTGTACTCAGCTCCATAGAAGGTGCACCTCAAGTACCCAGCTTGGGTGATAGGGGAGGCTGTGCCAGTGGACCCTACAGGACACCTACTATATTAGGTCACGCTACCAAGAGAGGGAGTCATAGCAACTCTACATAATACATAGAAACAAACACAGGGAGGCTGCCAAAATGAGGAGACAAAGAAACATGGCCAAATGAAAGAACAGATCAAAACTGACAAGAAAGAATTAAACAAAATGGAGGAAAGCAATCTATCAGATGCAGAGTTCAAAACACTGGTTACAAGGATGCTCAAGGAACTTAGTGAGGACCTCAACAGCATAAAAAAGATCCAGTCAGAAATGAAGGATACACTAATTAAAATGAGGAACAATTTACAGGGAAACAACAGTAGAGTGGATTAAGCCCAGAATGAAATCAATGATATGAAACATAAGGAAGCAAAACAACAAGAAGAAAAAAAGAACACCCCCCCCCAAAAAAAAAAAGTAAGGATAGTGTTAAGTAGCTTCTGTGATAGCTTGAAGTGGTCCAACATTCACATCATACGGGTGCCAGAAGGAGAAGAGAAAGAGCAAGAAATTGGAAATCTATTTGAAAATAATAATGAAAGAATACTTCCCTAATTTGGTGAAGGAAATAGACATGCAAGTCCAGGAAGCAAAGAGAGTCCTAAAAAAAGATGGATGCAAAGAGGCCCACTCCAAGACACATCACAGTTAAAATGCTAAAGGTTAGAGTTAAAGAGAGAATCTTAAAAGCAGCAAGAGGAAAGCAGTTAGTTACCTACATGGGAATTCCCATAAGACTGTCAGTTGATTTCTCAAAAGAAACTTTGCAGGCTAGAAGGGATTGACAAGAAATATTCAACGTCATGAAAAGCAAGGACCTACAGTCAAGATTTCTCTACCCAGCAAAAATATCATTTAGAATTTAAGGGCAGATAAAGAGCTTCCCAGACAAGAGAAAACTAAAGGAGTTCATCATCACCAAATCATTATTTTATGAAATGTTAAAGGGAGTTATTTAAGAAAAAGAAGGTCAAAATCATGAACAATAAAATGGCAATAAATACATACCTATCAACAATTGAATCTAAAAAACAAACTAAGCAAACAAGAACAGAGATGGAGACAGAATCATGGATATAGTGTTTTGATGGTTGCCTGATGGGAGGTGGGTATGAGGGGATGGGTGGAGAGGTGAGGGGATTAAGAAGTACAAATAGGTAGTTACAGAATAGCCAAGGGTATTTTAAGTACAGCATAGGAAATGGAGTAGCCAAAGAATCTAAATGCATGGCCCATGGACATGAAGAATGTGTGGGGATTGCCTGAGGCTGGGGTTGGGGGCTAGGTGGAGAGGGCCAAAGGGGAAACCTTGGGACAACTGTTAATCAGTAAAATATAATTTAAAAAAGAAAGTGATATGTCAAGGTTTTGTACATGCCAGGATATGAGACTGGTTAAACGAAACTGAATTTTCTCAAACTTCTATGGGGAAGTAGAAAGAAGGAATGAGAAAAGTATAGGCAGAGTTTATATCATCCTTTGAATAGAGCACTTTGTAGTTTATAATCCATTCCAGCTCAATCTTGCACATACACTCCTTCACAGCCTCCCATCTTCACCCTCCTTTAGATACCCCTGAGTTTCTCTCAAGATGCAGTCTGTATATCTATCTATCCATGTTATACATTTCTTATGATACAGGTATCAGTATCATTTACCTTAAGGGGAAATGCCATTGTAGTGTGTTATGAAAAACAGCACTAACCACAAACAGAGAGAGAATGAGCACAAGCAATTTTTCAGCTATTACATATATAAACATAGAGAAAAATAGGTAACTGCCTTTTACACAGACTTGAAACTGCTCCATGCCATTATCTTTCTTTTCTAGCCCCACATGATCTGCTGAGTGAGGTTGATTTTAATGGTTCTGAGGTTGTGGGAGGCTCTTTTACAAAATCTTTTGTGGTTCAGGATTAAAATTTAAGCCACTGCATAAGGAAATTTCACTTACAGGGCACTATTTAGAAGTAATATTTGGGAATATGGCTTGTAGTGTTCTCTAACAGCCAGCATCTGGGTGGTCATAAACTTAACCACTGAAGACAGGTACTTACTTTTTGGAGATTTCTTGAGATAGCACATGCACAACATCCTTTAGTACCATATCTCAGTAAATAATCACTCATAAATTAAGATGTGATTCTTAGATATTACCAAACGCTCTTGCTGCAATAAAAAGTCACTTCCTCTCCCTTAATCTTTTGCAAGGGTAGAAAATAACTGATCTTCCTTCTTCTAATAAACCTTGTATCATTAAAGACTCTTCATTGCCCTTTAACTTTATCTAGTGCAGGCTAAGTAACCCTATGAGACCTAAATTTTTTAGTGATATTTTATTTTGGTGTTAATGCTGATTGATAAATACTGCTTATTTAGAGCTGGAACAATTTCTCTACTATACACAAAAAATGTGGAGATTCTGATTAAGATCGTCTGTCTCCAAATACCATTATTAAAATGTAGACATCTAGATTTCAGCTACTTTTTGGGGAAATTATTTTATAGCTGATAGGTTTTTGGGTGTAATTTTTTTGGATTTCAAATATAGTAACAAAGGTTGTCATTCTTTAGTATGACAAATGAATCACTAGCCTTTTCTGTGTTACTTGTGTAATAATATTTCCACATGAATAGGTGGCCATAAAAAAATTAGTTTGTTTAGAGAATGAGCCATTTAAAAATTCTCACTTTACCTGGGTTGATTAGTGTTGTCCAAACGCTTATAGAATTACTTGGTTTATTGAAGGCACCTAAGAGAGTGCGAACAATTCATCTGTCCTGATGTAGACAGGTTGAGTCAAGAGATGTAAAGTATGAGATATACCCATGGACTGGCGTTCTAAATCTTCCAAGTAAGGCGGGGTTGGCGAGCGCTGGGCGGGCCCTCTTGCAGTCCCTGGCCACTGCCAACGTTCTATCTTTTAACATCCTCTTCCCTTGAGGACTTTAAAAGGTAAACATCTCTTCACGGGTAATTTAAGCCATTGACACTTTGACCAGAAAAGTAAATGCCTATTACAATAGAAATCTCTACAAGGATAGAAGCAAGGAGATGAGAATTCTGGTGGAAGAGCCTTCCTTCCGCACTCTCTTCCATACTCTAAATCCCTCCTTCTGTTAGTGGGCCGCACACATCCCCTGCTTATTCCTTAAGGTATCTTCGCCCTTCCTAAACAGATACTGTGAGTAAAGTTTGTGAGAAGGGCCTGGGGTCTCTCGGGAGAGGTGCAGTCTGGTGCTCTGGCTCTACCCGCCGGATTAGTATCTATCTTCAGCCTCTGGTAAAGGGAAACAGTTTTACGGACTGAAAAATGACCACTCCCTTGCTGAAGTATCTATAGAAAGAGAGGCATTTTACTGGCGAAATATTCCTGCCCGCCGACTCAAGTGCATATCCAATGCTCGGAATCTCCAGGTTTGGCTCGGCGCCTACCTGGACTGGGCTTCCTGGGGCTACAGCCGCTCCGCCCCCTGACACATTCGCGCTTCTCATTGGCCAGGCCCTGCGTTCGCCTCGGCTCCTGACTGGCGGCTGCTCCTGCTCATCTGCGAGGCAGGAGCACTTCCGCATCGTGGAGGCTGCTCCAAACTGAGGGGGAGGGGAACTATTTAGAAATTGACAGGAAAAGTAGGGGGGCGCTTACGGTACCCGAAGCCAGCAGTTGGGTGGGCGGAGGGGTTTAGCAGCTAGGCTGCAGCCGCGGTGGAGGCATTCAAGGTGTGCATGTGTGAGGGGACAGAGAGAGAGAGAAGGGTGCCTCTGAGGTGACATTCACTCAGCTTGCGGGCCTTCTTTCTGGGGCGCCAGAAACGCCCCCAATTTCCCAGCTGCTAAAGGAAGAGGAGGAAGGTGGGTCTCGGTGGCAGTTTGGGGGGAGGGGTGGCGGGCTTCCCACCCCTCCCTATAGGAGGGTATATTTCCCACTCTAAGATGTGTAGAACCTTTGTCCTTTACTCGCTGTGTGGCCCCGGAGGCCGAATTTGGTGTTTCGATGAGCGTTGGGCAGGAGGGACTACAGTGTGTGCGAGGAGGATCAGGTCTCCCCGGGCTCCTGTCCTTAGGACTCCGGACGGCGCGCGGATTTTCCCCTTGCCGGCGGCCCCTTAGTGTACCGTGGGGGAGGGGCGATGTAGCCTTCGGCCCCTCCCCTCCCTTGAAAATATGTCGGCTGAGGTTTCGCTACTTGGAATGGGAAGGCGGGGAGCTGGAGGCCCCGGCCCGCCCGCGCAGGGAATTCTTAGCACCTCCTAGTCCCAGATATTTATGGGCTGGTAAAAATGGTTGCTTCTTCCCCAACCCCCAGCTGCCAACCTCACCCGCCTCTCCCGCTTTTCGGAACCCTGCTTGGGTGGGGGCCGCTGTTGACCGGTTTTGCGGAGAACTGGTCGGAGGCTGGACTGCGTTGAGGGGAAAGAGAGCCAGGAATGCGACCCGCCAGCGCCTGCCGCTGTCGAACCCCGGAGGGCGTGGGGACCCGGGGGCGTTGAAATAGCCGCTGTAGATCCGCCTCTTTCATTGATGAAATTTAAGTTCGTGTGATTTTACCTTTCCTGGGAGTTTCCAGTTGGCCTTTATTTGTGTTAGAACAGTGTAGACAGGAGTTACAAGCAGACTCAGTCGCACCAAGTTTCTGTCTTTGGAAGTGGAGGTTTTCTTTTTCTTTTTCTTTTTTTTTTTTTTTTTGAGGCAGTTTTAATCGCTTTCAATAAATACTCTCCCTTAAGTAGTTAAACATTAGAAGAGGAGAAAGAACACGTCGGTTGTTAAAGAAGGGGAGGAAATCACTACCTGATAAGCGTGACTTCTTTAGAAACTAACATATATATAATCCAGAGTATTTTAGTAAATCCCTAAAATGTCGAGATTTGTACAAGGTAAGACACACTTCTTCTTATCTCCCGGGTTGCTTCAGCCGAATTTGAGAGGCACTTGAGAGGGTTGGTGGGTAGTTTGGAAGTGGAAATGTTCATTTGAGATACTATTTGCGAAACCTTTTTCGTTAAGTTGACATTTGAGCTGCCGTGAACTGCTGGACTGGCGTTTCAGATACGTATAATTTATACCCCTGTGTTCTGCTGGGTTTACTTCTGCCTCCCTGAAATCAGGTTAGGAGCACTCTAACTCCCCGGGATCGTGGCTGTAAATGATGATAAAACAGGATTTGGGTTGCTGATAATCTGTTTTCCTTTCCTGGTCGAAGTTAAGGTAACTGTGTGCGCGCGCGGACAAAAAGGCAAACTGGGAAGGCTTAGTGAAGGCAGGTGGGTTTTGCCAGACTGTTCGGGGAGCTTGAGTGTTGTTCTCAGCACCTACTCCGTTTGCGTGCTTGGTTTGAGTCTCAAATTCATTTATTGCGAAACTGGGAGTAGCTCATAGAAGCTGGAGGTCATTTCAGCAGGAGAAATGACTTTGCTGCATTGCTGTTTATTTTTCTCTTTCTTTAAAATCTACAAAGATTATTAGGTTTCTTTGAAATTTGAAAATTGCCCTCTAAATTCTACATGTATATTAGAAAGGGGTTAGGGAATTACTCTCAACAGATTTAAGCAGTAACATTGCGTGTATGCGTGTATGCGTTGTACACTTTGAAACTGGTGCTATCTTAAACCTCTGTCACCAGTTTATTGCATAGAATTTGCCTTCTGGTATGCAAAATAACTGTATTCATGTGGACCCCAGAGTATGAAAGCTTCAGCCATCTTGCTGAACACACAGCTAGTAAAGTTCACAACCACTTAATGTGACTCTTCAATAAATGTAAATGTACTTCAAAAAAAAAAAGAAATTATGTCAGTAATAGCCCTCATTTGACCCTGGGAATAAAAATGCCATAGTAAATTTTACATCACTTCATTAACTCTTCTTTGAGTTTTGTATAAAAAAGTAAAAGAATTTGGAAACAGAGGGGACATGCCTGCTTTTAGCACTAAGCTCAGAAATGTCACTTATCATTAGACTTTCAAATTCATGATATACCTTACATATGGTGAGAGATGCTTCTTATATGCTTATTGAGTAAATGGCTTAGTCAAAAATAGCAAGGCAGAAGTAACTGTTAGAAATGTGCTGGTTTTGTAAGAGCAACAACACAATTTAATGACCGGAAATCCAGTATTTTGCAACAATAAGCTAGGTAAAAGTGGACAAGTCACTTCTCTTAAAAAGCTAAGAATATTAAACTCCAGCTGTTCCTTATAGCTGTGCTTTAGAATAGCTTCCAGAGGTGGTGTGTGTTGACTAATTTCACAGTCTTTACTGTTAAAGGCTAACTGTCTTCAGATTCTAAATCAAGTGACAATACCTAAGAGTTGCTGTGACTGTTGTCATTCCTTTCTATTATCATCTACTTAAAAAAAATTTTTTTTATCTTGGAATACTTTTAAATTTATAGGACAACTGCACACATGTCAAAACTAAGAAATTATAGGTACATTACTACTAACTAAATTAGACTTATTCACACTAGTATTCCATGACTTAGTCCTGCACTGTGTTTAGTTGTGATACACTTTTGCTTTAAATGGTAGTTTGCCTTTTAAATTGGCAGTTTTGCACAGAGGTGAATCCGCCTCCCCCTGCCCCCAATTACCATGATTGTGCTCCTGTTTATCATTGTTTAAAAATTTTGTACTTCAAATCCTGGCTGGGTGGCTCAGTTGGTTACAGTGTTGTCCCCATACACCAAAGGGATGTGGGTTTGCTCCTTGGTGGGGATGCCTACAGGAAGCCTCTGTCTCTAAAATCAATAAACATATCCTTGGGTGAAAGTTAAAAAAATTTTTTTGTACTTCAAGTGTAAAGTAAACCCTTTATATGATTAATGAACTGTGTTGCTCTTTTAAGAGATAAATCTAATTGGCTAATGAATTAGCTGTCTCCACAGATCAGTTTGGAAGTGTAAAGACTGGGATTTTTTTTTTGAATTTTTTTAGTAGATCAAATTTTTTTTAGTGATATGTCCACTCATTGATTTACATAGGTTTTGCCACTCATAGGGCAAAGATTGAACAACTATTAGGCATTACGCCCCTGTTTTCGTGCGTTGTCTCATTTAAACTTTACAAGAACCCTGTGTGGTAACTGTTACGATCCCCGCAAGTATGAGCTCAGAAATTAGAGTTTGATCACACACTCTTTATTATTTGGCCAAGTTTTACCTGCGCAGGGGCCACCTTTCCCTCGAAAGGAAAAAGGCGCGCCGCTGTAAGGGTACACGGGTTTTTATAAGCAGAGCAAGCAAGCAAGATACAAGGGCGAGAAGTGGCAGTTAGCGATAGGCAGCTTCTTTCTTTCTCCCTTTGCTAATTAGGTTCAAGGCTGTTACTGGGCCCCCTACTCTGTCTTTCTCTGGTCAGGATGTTTATCCGAGGCAAGGCTCAACCGTCGCCCCATGCCTCCTCCTCATTCTTGTCGACTCTGGCCCAGCTGCATGGGGGCTGCACCCTGATATGTTTTTCTTGGTACCAGTTTCTCCCTTATCCTCAGCTCTGACCCTGCCCCTACCGGCTGTTTATCTGAGTCAAGGCTCAGCCGCTGTCCTATCCTGCTACCAAGGGGGGGCTCTAATTCTTCCCTTCATCTTGGGGCACTGTCTGCTCTAGTTTCTTGTTTCGGCCCAGGCTTGACCTAGTGTTAAAGCCTGGCCCCTTCAGTAACAGATGTTTATATTGACCTTACAGCTGAGAAAATTTAAGTATCTTGTTCAAAATTCACAGCTACTAAGCACTGAAATTCATATATGCGTAGATACGTCTAAAACTCTTGTCCATTCCAATACCCTTTGCTTCTTTCATTAAAAACTTATCTAAATGGCATGTTTTTCCTAAACTGTCAGTTCCCTGTGGACATTGTATCATAACCCTTTGGCAAGTACATTTTATTTTGTAGTGGCTGGTGCTCTATAAGAATTTGTCATGAATGATAAGCAATCAATCCAGCACTTTCCATGTGTTTTTAGTAGGTTAGCCTACGTTTTTGGTTGTATTTTTTAAGATATCATAAATGTTGAGAGAGATTAAGAGAGTGTGGATTTAGGTTTGAACCCTGTTACTAAGAGGCTTAGACACATAACTTTTCTGAACCTCAGTTTCTACTTATATAAACATTGGATATTAATACTTATGCCACAGGGTGACTGAGAAGCTGAAATGAGATGAATTATGTGAATGTACTAGTCACATATTAGATGGCCAATAATTTTTACTTTTTTTCTTTCTTAAAATGACAGTGGCCTTTCAGATAACATTGCCACCATAAAGATAACCATATACCCTCAACAGAAATAAACAGAAACAAGGCAGGCATGACAGGTCTTTATTTTCCTCTTCTAGGTTTGTTGTTCAGGCCTGTGGCACTTGGGAGTTGATATGTTTAATAACAACAAAAAAAGAAGTGTGGAGTATAGAGGGGACGCTTAATAGTTATATAAATACATAGTTGGTGACAGTTTTTGTTTCAATCCAGTGAACAAAAATTTTTTTGAATGCTTACAAAGTACGGTGTCCTGTATTGGGATTTTTCATGTATCTCTTATGGTGGGAACTTGAAATTCAGAAGATGTGCTGTGTATACATGTTTTTGAATTTCTGAGAAATTGGGGTTGCTATACTTGGCTTGAATCTCTTCCACCAAACCTAAGCAATGTGCTTTTACAGAAAAGCTGGGCATCTCCATTCTCAAGTGCTTTAACCATAAGGTAGAAGGTAAAAATGTTCAATTAATAAAACTACTTAATATGTATTAAGAGTTCTCAGTATATATTCCTTGGCCAAAAGAAGGTTGAGCGTTCTTTGGGCATCTCCAAGTCTGTGATTCTCAGGCACTTAAAATTTCTTTTCAGAGGAAGGCTCTTCTTTATCTGTTCTAGGGCTTAATACCCTAGTTTGGTGTATTTTGCCCTCAGGTCACCTGCCTGCCTGCCTGTGATAGTACTTCATTTGCCAGTTTTCTCCCTGTGCAGGGGGTTCCTTAAGGGCCCTTTAGTTATTTTAAGTAAATGTGAGTACTAGCTGAATGAGAAGGGGCTACTTATCACAGTTGGAGGTACTAGGGGTAATTGGCAGCTCTGACATTTTGCCAGGTTTGTCATCCCATGCCCTTTGGGATTTTGCTTTTTAAAAAGTTCTGACTGCTAATGAGGTAGTCACCGTACATGGTATGAACCTTATAAATGGTGCAAGGACTACTGTCATTTAGCCAGCTAAGGCCATGTTCTGTGCTTATACTATAATATTAGAGGAATTTTTAAAAAAATTTATAATAGACCATTATCTACCTAAATTATATAAATATGTCTCTTAATATTCTTAAATTGAGGTACTTTCTTATATTTCCAAGGAGGCCATTTGAGTATCTCTGTGTTTAAAAAATATTTGAGACCTGTCAACTTTCCCATTTGTTGGAATTCTCTTTTTATGACTTTTTTGGTGATGCTTGTTTGGTAGATGGCAGCAAGCCAGGGAGGATTAGTTGAGCCAATAATAACTAGAGGGACCTCAGATGAATACCGGGATGAGAAACATTCTGGGCTAGATTGTGGAGGTTGGACCTTGGCCTGGTTCTTCTCAAATCCTAAGACCAAACTGAGAGTGTTGCTGCTTTTTTAGAGGTCTAGGATATTTTAGCCCAGAGGGATTGTGGCATGGACTTGAGGTAGGACCAGAGGTGGCAAAGCAATGACTAAGACACATTCCACATTTTTTTTAAAGATGTGCCTTAGGATTCATCTAATCCTTCAGCTAGAGAATGAAGGATTTAATTAAATTCAGAGTCACAGTTATAAATGGAAAATTAAACTAAAAATTAAGAGTTGAGCTGATGAAAATTTTGTTTTCTAATGTAGACCTTGTTCTCTGTGTTTAGACTTGTTCTTGAT